ACACACACACACACACACACACACACACACACACACACACGCCCAAATAAGGCTAACAGGGCAACAATTAGAGCAGCATATGTTTTGCCCAGTATCTGAAATGAGTGTACTAGGTCAACACTTCACTGAATGCAAGAACAAGCGTATAATTACCATTATCTCTGTGTGTGTTTATACTTGTGTGTCAGGTTTGCTGTTTGGATTCAGTTATATGGCACATCGGTGGTTCTTTAATATTTGAAACTCAAATCTGTTAAAAAATTAAAAAACAAGGTTTCTTCTGAAAATCTGTTGATTTTAACGTGTGTGTTTCTTTTTTGTGGTTTTCTCTCATTATTTTTTTCACTTAATTTCAGCTGCATGACTGACAGATTTATCATTCTGCTAACACTTATAATAAATATAAGTAATGAATTATACAACGTCACCTACTTTATCAATTTACCTTTTATTAACTATGATTAGAATTTATTCTTCTTCCTGCTCCTTTTCATGCATGGAAACAGTGTTACTTTAATTGAAAGGAAGGTTGTGTATGGGAAATGAATTACTGCTGTACCATGTGTGAAACAAAAAAATAAAATAAAATAATGATTATTATAAAATAATTTTAAGAAAAAGTGTTATCATCAGCTATCGCTGCCTCTTGGTTGTTGCCCAGCTACACAGTCAATACATCAGGTTCAGCCCTAAATAGGGTTTAACAAATGTTGGGCTGCTCAGTGTTACAGGAAATCACAACTTTTCTGCTCCACGTTATAAAACACTGAGGATGTAGATTAATTTATTCAGATAAACACGTGATTTTATTTTTCTATGACTATTCTTGTCCTAACTAATATGACTTTAGCCAATTTATTTCTGTCATCCTTGGAGAAAAATCATCCAGCCTGCTTACACACATACCGGTTTATCTATCAAACACACAGCAGCCACATGTAGTACACTGTAATAGCAGTTGTTAGTGAGAGAGTCCCTGGACTAAGTGAGCACCTCTTGGTACGTGGATTGAGTGTGTGCTGATCTAATGTGACTGTGGAAATGCACTTGTCAAAACATGATTAGTATTAGAATTTACGTGACAAGCTGAGTACCCGTAGTCTTTGCAGCTAGTAGCAGTCCGAAGCAGAATATAAAACACTCCAGCACCTCACTGCCTTCCAGCCAAGGAAACTTTACACAACGCAGACACGTTTTTAAAAAGTTAAAATCAATTAAAATCATGAATGAGGTCACATTAATGTATCTCACAGAAAAGAATCTGTGCTCAGATATTTAATTTATTGTTTCTGTGTCTGTTGCAGGTGGAAGGGATGAGCCCTCGAGCTATACATGTACCACCTGTAAGCAACCCTTTCCCAGCGCCTGGTTCCTGCTGCAGCATGCCCAGAACACCCACGGCATTCGCATTTACCTGGAGTCCAGCCCCTCCAGCGCAACCCTCACCCCACGCCTCACTATGCCTCCACCCATTGGCAACGACTCCATCCCACAGTCCCCCCTCACCAACTTTCTAGGGGATAACAACCCTTTCCACCTACTGAGGATGACAGCACCCCTGCTCCGTGAACCTCCTCCAGGCTTTGTAGAGAACCGTCTCCCCAGTACGCCTCCGTTTGTCACTCCACCTCCCCGCCATCACCTGGACCCCCATCGCCTGGAACGCCTTAGTGCAGAGGAAATGGGCCTCATCTCCCAGCACCCCAGTGCCTTTGAAAGGGTGATGCGGCTAACACCTATGGCCATGGAGTCCCAGTCTATGGACTTCTCCAGGCGGTTACGAGAGTTAGCAGGGAACACTAACAGCACCACACCACCGTTATCACCCAACAGGCCTAACCCTATGCATCGACTACTAAACCCTAATCCCTTCCAGCCTGGGCCAAAATCGCCATTTCTGAGCACTCCTCCATTGCCACCAATGCCCCCAAACAGCACCACCCCTCCCCAGACCCAGAACAAGATCAAGTCCTGTGAGTTCTGTGGTAAAACCTTCAAGTTTCAGAGCAACTTGGTGGTACATCGGCGCAGCCATACTGGAGAAAAACCATACAAGTGCCAGTTGTGTGACCACGCTTGCTCTCAGGCAAGCAAGCTGAAGCGCCACATGAAGACCCACATGCACAAGGCTGGATCCCTGACGGGGCGTTCGGATGATGGCTTATCCACCACGAGCTCCCCAGAACCAGGCACCAGTGACGTGCCAGGTGAGGGCATGAAAAACCGTGATGGTGATTTCCACGGGGAAGGCAACGAGGAGGAAGAAGAGGAGGAAGAGGAAGAGGAGCTTGAGAATGAGAGTCGACCAGAATCAAATTTCAGCATGGAGTCCGAGTTCTACCGGAACAGGGAGAATGGTTCTAAACCTCTGTCAGAGGAGAAGTCGTCCCTTGGCCTTGAGAAGATAGTGGAAGGTGGGGGGCTCAATTCCATTCAGCAGTACAATAATTTGATAGTTGACAATCGTAAAAGGATGCCCTTCTCTAAGAGAGCCCTGGATGGCCAGCGGGATACTGGAGATGAGGATTCAGTGGCTGGGGAAATAGATGACCACCAACAGGAGAGGACAACCATTAATGGCCGGAACTGTGGCTCCGGCGATTCTTTCTCAGGTCTGTTCCCCCGTAAGCCCACCCCCATTACCAGCCCAACCCTGTCCAACTCATCAAATAAGAGGATCAAGATAGAAAAGGACTTGGACATTCCCCCTGTACCCCACATTCCTTCTGAGAATGTGTACTCCCAGTGGTTGGTTGGCTATGCTGCCTCACGCCACTTCATCAAAGACCCTTTTCTAGGCTTCAGTGACTCCAGACAATCGCCCTTTGCCACCTCCTCTGAGCACTCTTCAGAGAATGGCAGCCTGCGCTTCTCAACCCCTCCAGGTGACTTGCTAGATGGGGGTTTGTCTGGCCGCAGCGGCACCGCCAGTGGGGGCAGCACACCTCATCTAGGTGGTGGCCCCGGTCCAGGTCGACCTAGTTCCAAGGACAGCAGGAGGTGCGACACCTGCGAGTTCTGTGGTAAGGTGTTCAAGAACTGTAGCAACCTGACGGTGCATCGGCGTAGTCACACTGGTGAAAGGCCCTACAAGTGTGAGCTGTGCAACTATGCCTGTGCCCAGAGCTCCAAGCTCACACGCCACATGAAGACACATGGCCAGCATGGTAAGGAGGTCTATCGCTGTGACATTTGCCAAATGCCCTTCAGCGTGTACAGCACCCTGGAGAAACATATGAAAAAGTGGCATGGAGAACATTTGATGACCAGTGAGGTCAAACTTGAACAAACAGAGAGGGCCTAAAGCTAATTCCCTGTTTCCGTACTCTTTGACTTCAAAATAACAAAAAGGGGTAGCTGGATACTTTTTTTATAAGATATTAATTTTGGGTTAATTTTAATTGTGTCTTTGATTAAATAAACTGCCAACTGAGAAAAAAAAACGTGAAAACAGAGATCAACTGAAGCTGTCTAAACTGCCTTATGTGGCATTCGTTTTTAAACAATCCGTCAGTTGAGTTATAAAATATATGGAGCCTTTAACTGTGCAATAATTTCTGTATTTATTGGATTTTGTATTTTGGCATGTGCAGGTACATTTTTATTAGAATTTTTTTTATTGTTTCTTTTTGCATTACTGTTTTTTTTTTTAAACCCACGTGATATCCTGAGAGTTCCTTAGAGGACACAAATCCATTTTGTCTCTTTTTTTTGGCCACTTCTTGTAGGAAATTGTATATTAAGCTAAATGTGTAATTTCTTGAAAAGCTGAATCAATCTTCAATTTGAAAGTGGTGTTAACTGAGAATGCTAGAATTAGTCTATTTTATGTGATACGCGAACAACAATCCTTTGGCATTGTAGCATGAACTGACTGTAAAACATGTCAATATAATTGGATATATAGCACCGAGTGTCATATTTGACGATAAATGTAAAATGAAAGAGGATCCCAAGGTTCGTAAACCCGTCTCCTCGTGAAAACACCCTAACCAGCCACAAGAAGCTGATGATAGGTGAGGCAGCTGCTGACTGGTACATAGTGCCGAGCTCCGACAACGCTACAACATCTTTCCCTTTGTTTTGTGTTAACACCATCTCATCTACATTCATACACCCATGCACTCTTTTGCATGAAGCCATATGATCTGTGTTATTTATTAGGAGAGAGCACGAAGCCATGACGAGTATGCGTAGCAAGAAATAGAACAATGAGACCGAGAGAACACAGGGACATCTCAGGGTAAACTGTACTACTTTCCTTTATTTACCTGTTCACTCCTGTGTTGCCCCTTGGCAAACAACTTGCAAAGCATTTATTTCATCATAGGTTGTAATCGTTAGAGACAGTTTTACCCCTCACGTGGCTGAAGTTTTAGCCTTAACATCCACCAGCTCACAAGTGTCCTCTTTAATCTTATGATTAGGTTCAATTCTTCCACTTTGTATGGAATCTGTCTGTATTTGGCTGTATGTAATGGAAGGGTCATTAAAATTTACATTTAGATTTGCATAAGCAGAAATGACATAGAAACAGTACACGTGAAGCCTAAACAGGTCACTGGCAACCTAGTGGATGTTAAGACCTCAAAGTTTTATTTCTAAAATAATAAAATAATAATAAAAGCCAGATCCCGATGCATTTTGTGCTAAAATACATGACAATTTGTTGAACTTGCATTAGTAGTAAATTTGGACTTATTGCATTCTAGTGCTTGTACAGTTTGATTGATGAAGCCACCTCTCTAGAAATTTAAATTATTGATTGTTAGTTGAGTGCTGAAATAATAAAATTAATTTATCAGTTTGCCTCATGTCCTGTTGTTATTTTAAAAACCATGAATCAGTTTTCTTTAAGCCCTTTTCACCTTCATAATGGCACTTTTGTCAGTGTACGAACTCGCAGCTCTGAACAACAGACGCACATGTACAGAAATGTGCTACAGGGCCTGGAGCTTGGGATCACCTGGTACTGAAGTGCCCAAGGTTGCTAGGCTTGTCTTTCCCAATGTTGGCACTGTAAATTAATAAGAATAATTTATTTGGGACAGTTTTTGTACTGCCATTCAAATTGACATGAGTGTGCCTTGACCAATGACCTTCCTATTTATTATCTTTGACAAATGCAACATTTGTTATGAAGTAACAAACGAAAGCTCAAACGTATCAACTTTACTGTGTAATGTGACCGTTAAACAGAAAAATCTAAATTAATACAAACGTAACAATGCTGAGTTTACAATGACGAGTACCCAGCACAACATCAACGTGTCTGTGTGTGTATATATGTATTCATATGTACATATAAAGGCACAAACCTATATATAGAGTTATATGAAACGAGTCTGTCCCTCAACAGAAAGTCAAGAAGAGGACAAAAAGCCACACAAAGAGTTAGGGAAGAGACTGGACAAAAATCAGGAAAAGCAGTAACTAAGAAGATCAGATTTTAGTGCACTCTGTCTTAAAATAAGTTTACAGTATTGATACAAGGGTAAAAATAATATGTGTGTATGTGAGTTTGAAACATTTCTTTCAGGTTTGCTTTGAAACTTTCTCTGAACGCCAAAGTGGCAACGTGTACATTGTTTTTCCTTTCTTGTGTTCTTTTCTTTTGGTGATGGGGTTTTAGTATATAAATATATATGAATATATATTACATTTTTGTTGTTTACTGTAAAAGTATACCAGTATTTGTAATATTGGAGAATGCCTGGGCATTTTACAAGACTATAAAAAGGTTGTTTTTTCAATTCTTTTTACGTTACAGTCCAGTTTAAATTGTGGGTCTCTTAAACTGTTTTTGTCACTGTAATTGTAAAAGTCTTCAATTTTAGTAACTTTTATTCTGCCTTGGGTGTAATTAAATTAAAAAATTATAAAATAAATGAATTAAAAAAATGCTGAGCTGTAACACACTTTGATAGTAGGGTGGTGAGGGTGGAGGGTGGCTCCCATCTTTTTCAGGAAGAAACACTGAGAATCCTGACTTGTATCTATTTTTCTTCTTCTGGAACGGAGTATTCTTCATGGATGGTTTGAAATACATGTGTAGGCACTTGCTGTCATTCCTAAGGAGCTTGTCTTTTAAAAAAACAAACTGAAAAAAAAAACCTTGTAGACTATGTGCATCCTTTGTGAATAGGGTACTGTGAGTACCTCGAGATGTGTTGATCTTATATGGGGATGCAGAGGGGCCGGTGAGTTTAATGACACATCCCAGTCCGACGACGGGCGGCCACAGCCTGTTTCTGCTCTCGCTGTGTGGGACAAACAGAACCTGATGAATTTGTACTGTTGTAATGAATCATGTTGTACAGAATGGGATCAAATAAAGGTTGTTAAGCAGCCTTTTTGCGACAAAAACACACACTGATGTTTTGTTTACTGCTCCATTGGTTGTACATAGTTTTTTATGATGACGCTGTTTTTCATTTTCTTTGACTTTTTGTGATTTCTAACTGGCACTGGCAGTGAACTCCCCGTGTTTTGGGGAAGAGGGTGGACGTGGCTGTTCTGTTTGACCTTTGTGACCTCCATGTCAGTTTTCAGGCACACGCCTCCCACGTTGATATTTCTCGGCATGAGAACAGAGCACAAATACAAGCTGTTACGTTTCTTTATCCTTTGGTTGTTTGTCTCAGTTTGTTCTTTGAGCTGGTTAAACACAAAGTGACCACAGGAAAAAGTCAAACAAATAACGAAAACACCAACAGAAAAACACAATGAAGTCATCAGCCTCTCATTCTACTAAAGCTCTGAAAACATTGAGTCTAAATTACAACGACGCACAATTAGCACTGCAGCAGTGGACCACAGAAACCCAGGAACACCTGCCAGCGAGCACAGCGCTAAAGCAAACGCTTGGAGCTGTGATAGCACGCATTTCCTGTATTCACAATCAATCAAACATGCCACGTGTTTGTACTGAAACACACTGATAAATATAGTTCTGAAAATACAACGCAGAATGAAGCGAGACACTGTCACTGTTGGTAATGATGTTTGAAAGCAGAGGGGAGGGGCTTATTTGGAGGAGGGTTGTAATGCTGTTTTCAGACTTCCTCTGTCTGCTTCTTCTTTTTTAATCAAGACCACTGAAACCAGTCAACTCATCAAAGTTTGTTTGTTTGCTATTTTCCATTATTGAATATTTAAAATGTAATTATACAACATAATAAAAAATAATGTCAGTGCAACTCATAAATAACTTTAATATTTTACCTAATTTAATCAAGTGTTAAACAATATACTTTATTACTCTGTCGACATGATTACACTGGACGATAAAATAGTATTTTAAATGAATAATAATGTATTTAAAAATGAACTGAAAATTATGTAAATAATGAAAAATGATAATATCATAAATAACTGTACAGTTATAGACTCATTTCACTTCTATTTTCAGTCTCTTTTCAGTTTAATTTGACAAAACACACACACACACACACACACACACACACACACACACACACAACTGAAAGCAGAGACGCTTTGATTTATTTTTTTGGACCGAGATAATCAATAAGTAAAAATCGTATATTGTGATTTAGTCTAGTTTTGTTGTCAAGTGTAATTTTTTTGCATCTGTAGTTAAAACTACAGTGGAAACAGTACAAACAGGCCTTCACAGATAAACTATACATACATACAACATTTTAAGCACTACATTTATTTATCAAGAAAGTGGACAAAACATATTACCTTATTGATAATATGTGCTCTTGGAAACAGAATCACTGAACGTGGCAGCATACTTCAATCCCCATTTTAATTACTACAAGTGCACCTGGAACCTTCAGTGAAAATATAACATCCAGTTTATTCATCGAGTTTGACAATAACCATATTTACTCTTGCTGCTGACTCACATCCTTTGTCAAAACGAGCGTGCCACACAAGAGGTGGCACTGCTACCTGTTAAAATGTTGAACCCTGTAATCAATCACAGAGGCTCAATATGTTTCAGATACGACAGTGAACAAACGACAAGTCAGAGTAATTAAATTGCATTCAAAGACACAGAGGAAGTGTTGTTTTTCTAATAAAAGAAGCGCAAACCAGACAAGAGGAGATCGTTTTGTTGTTTCCATCTCTCAAAGCCTGCACTCCTGCGACTGTGAGTGACAGCGTTTACAATGAAAATACAAAAATCTACACGATAGCTGCTACGATAATACAGCTGTGCATCAGCCTTTCGTCTTCTTAGAAAGGCAACACACGGGGAAAATCAGTCCCTAAAATGAGGTCATTAATTCTCTCATCACCTGCTTCAAAATTTATTTTGATTTCATTTCTTCTTTCCAGTTCCACAGCAGAGAAGAGGGTGAAAAAGAAATCCAGACCCACAATTAGACCGAGGGAGGTAGGAATGCGGCGTTGGACAGACCCAAGCGAGTTGTGATTTGGCTTGAGTTTCAAGGCAAATGGGTAATTAAGGCTTTTCCCTGGCCGGCCTGCACTTTGAAGTCCCCTACAGGGGGGATTATCCCAGCCGAGAGAAAGACAGTGAAAGCAAAGTAATGAGACCCAATAAGAGGGGAAGAAACGGAGAAAAGGAAGGAGTGAAGGCTCGCTGAGGAAAGAGATTAAAAATCTAATCATTCATTTTAACACAGGCATGCATTGCAGGCAAAATAATGCATAATTCCAAGGCCTCCCCAGCAAACATTGAACAGTCGTGATTTAATTAATGGTTTAATTGACATAAAATGAATCGAGGATGATCGAGTGGATATTACTGACATATCTGTGTTTGATGTGTTTGTCTCTGGAACATCTGGTCAGAAAGAAAAACAAACTTTTTTGACAAAATGTGACACACACACACACACACACACACACATTTACTGTTTTTCAATTGCTCCTTGCATTGTATCTCTTAACATCTAGCAGGTCATTGGCATGGTTACATTTGGCTTTGATGTAGCCACATAGGAACACAAAGTAGAAAATGTTACATTTATTCTAATTTTTTTCCATTTACAATGAAAATACAATAAATGTGGAGGATCTTAACTAAGCCTCACCTCGAGCCCTAGATGGGTCTGGTGAATGTTAAGAGGATGTTATGTTATCACAAATCCTAACAACTGGGATACACTATTGTTTTAATTTGAGTTCTTCTGCCGGACTACAAAACTACAGACCAGGCTGCTCCCCTCTGCTATTATCAACCCCTTAACCTGCTTTTAGAACTACCTAAAAGTGTGTGCGCAGTGGGGGGGAGGGGGGGGGGATTAAGGCAGACAGACACCTCTGGTTATTCCGAGGGATGGAATTATTTCAAGACCCTGACTGGCTGTCAGCACACGCAGCGCCTCCTCCCTTCTCGTTATAAAAAAGCAACTTCAAATGACTTAAGCTGCTGGTCGTCAGCACCAAAGCCACACTGTTGACAGGTACAGTAGGGTCTTAAGCCTTTAAGATCAACGGTGCTATTCTCCCTGACAAAATCCCCCCGAGGGCTCCTCCCTGATTGGATGGCAGAGGAATGAAGCATGGAAGTAGAGAGGTGTGGCGGAGACTGAAAAAGAAGGGTCAGTGAGAAGGTGTCACGAAGCTGCGAGGAAGGGGGCAGAGAACCTGGGGCCACCTGCTTAATTATGGTCGAGGTTTAATAGCCAATCGAGGAGGATTCTCTCAACGTGTCTGCTAATCATTCACCGGCCTCATCCCTCGTCCAATCGGTTGTCGTGCCTATCTGTGCCACACTTTCACTGTCAGTTTCTGCCCTCGAGACTTTTCCCAGGTTCACAAATAAGAGGAAGAAGCGCCGCTGCCTCATCTTCACATTGCAAACCAGGAAGAGAAGTTAGCTAATTGTTAGCTACGTGCTTTATCGTGCAGTGACTTGACTCAGTGTTGCTGCAGTCATTTGTTTCTTATTGTATCTGTGCATTGTTCCGACACAAAGCCTTACATCGCTGTCTCTGAAATAAATAAATCTTAGTGACAAAGGAGAAGCTATCGATTTATTTCAGCTCACAATCACAGCCACTTAGGTGATTACCCAGATAGTGTGTCATTATCTGACTGAATCAAATCTCCATATGTGGGAAAACCAGCTAAATGTGATGAGGATTCATGCTCTGTAACATCTTATATATTTGAGTCCTTGTTCTGAATGCTAGGAGAGTGATCGGCAGGGTGACTTCTTTAAGAAAAAATGGCAGAGAAGGAAAAAGAGGGAGTTAGCGCTGCAAGTCCTGAAGGCGCAGTATAAGAGGTGCACTGTGTCTTTTTGATATTCAGATTTGCCTGCCTACACACAGCATTATGACACATTTGGATGATCGCATTGTAGGATTAACGGGCCTGCCTTGTCATTTTCAACAACAATGCCACGATTTAGGGATGCTATTTCACACACGGCGCTCCGCATTAACGCCGGCCCAAAGATTTACATAAATCTTTGTCTTAAGATGAAAGCAGAGAGGGGCTTGAGACAATGAAGTTAAGCTTTAGAAATGAGAGATGAGAGGAAGGAGAGCCGTCACCGGGCGTCGGTGGCGGAGGGAAGGAGGGAGGAAAGTTTGAGGATAAATCAACCAGTAGTTATGTTGATTTGACGAAGACTGCGCCTCTTCCCATTCTAGTTGGTGTCCATGTGGTGGAAGTAGAAATAGGAAATTAGCATTTCCATATCTAAAAAGGGGTCAAAAGGAGGTTAGATAAATGGAGGTGAAGGTGATGAATGTGTGTGATTTAGTGTTGTGTCGCTGAATGAAAGCCTTCTTCTTCCACATAGGAACTCTGTCTTTTAACCCCCCCTCCCCTCGCTCCTTCTGTCCTCTAATCTCCTGGCCTGCAGCAGTCACTGGAAAAAAGTAGCCTAGATTGTTGCGCCTCCCCCCTTCTCCTTGATTGGATTCATCCTGGCTGATTGAGAATCTGCTTACATTAAAGCCAGTGAGAAAAGCGATAGGATCAGATAGATCTGACCACTGAAGGCAATTTTTTTCCCTTTGAAATTCAGAGGAGGTTCTGGTGGTGGGGAAGGATGGGGAGCAGATTATGGGGCAAGTGAGACAGTGACAGAGAGGTGAAGCATGAGTGACGCTATCAGCAGCATTATCGCTGTGCTCCAACCTTGTTTCATTGCCTTTATTTCACAGACTGGCCTGTTGAAGCTTTTCAGGAAAAACACGAGCAGGGAGTGAACCACAGTGTTCTCTGAACCGTGAGACAATAAATGATCATTATCATATCAAATACAGGAATATATGTGGAGGAGGTACATTATAATTTAGACAAGCAATGTAGCAACGCAGCTGCTCACAAAACATGAAATCCACATGTTTAGTTATCAGTGCAGAGTCTTAGTGGAAGCTTGTTTCAGATAAATAAATATATAGCTGGTGCTTCAGCAGCTGATTTAACCAAAAATCTGTGAGATAGATTTTATTGGTAAGTGAAGACTGATGTAAAAATATTTGATCACGTCTGGAGGAAGCCGTGCTTTCCCATTATTCACTGTCACAGTGACAATGCAGTCAAGGCCAGCACACACACACACGGACACACATGGACACACCTCCCCATGTCAGCCTCCTTTTCTGTTTTCAAGCCCATCTGTCTCCTTTAGATTGCTTCTCTCTGTCATTCGGCATTATTTCTC